CCCCCAGTTAGGCCACACCCCCTAGCTTCTCCCTCAGCCAATGGGCCTCACCTGTGCTGGGCCACGCCCACAGTTTAAATAGGGCCGGCCCTGGGCTTGTTCCTTTTCCCCTTTCCTCCTCTCTTTTGGGGGGGTGATGTTGCCGCGTCCCCGGTCCCTCCCTTGGCTCACGGCTCCCTCCGGTTTGGTGGTGTTACTTCCCCTGCACCCCCCTACGCGGGGCTCCCCCAGTCGCTCCGATGACCAAGTGGGTGCCCAGGCCGCGCCCTCCCAGACGGCGGAGGCGTCGACGGCATCCCCGGACCTGGTGGAGGTGGTGGCGGCGTCTGGTGAACCGGTGAGTCAGCGGGAGGCTCAGGCCGGAGGGCGGTGGTTCAAGCAGGAGGGACTGGGGGCAGGAATTGAGGCTCCGTATCGTGGCCCCGGTTTCTGGCCACTGTGTGGCCCTGAGCATTGGACTGGATGGGCCACTGGCCCGACCCAGTACGGCTTCTCTTATGTTCTTAGGGAAGGGCAGAGTGTCGAAATCCAGGTGTGTGTGTGTGTCCCGGGCAGAGTGAGTGTGAGCTAGCTCACAGTTTTTTAGCCTCCAGCACACAGATTTTTGTCTTGGCTCAGGAAGGGATGGCTCCAAAGCAATGCTCCCTCTAAGCTGTGGAGTCTTGTGAGCAAAAATTCTACTTTGTGAGCTACTGGCATTAAAGTCGTGTGCGAGCAATTTGGCTACTACATACAATCGTTTGCTCTGGGGCCCTCCTTCCTGAGCCAAGACAAAAATCTGTGAGCCAGAGGCTAAAAAACTGTGGGCTAGCTCACACTAACTCAGCTTAGAGGGAACACTGCCCCAGAGCAAACTCATTCATGCAGCAGCCCAATGGCTCGCTCGCACCTTTAATGCCAGGAGCTCACAAAGTAGACTCTTTGCTCACGAGACTCCACGGCTTAGAGGGAGCCTTGGTCTCGGGGTGCCGAGTTTGAAGCGAGACGCAGTCAAGACCTGTTGACTACTCTTGGTGTGGTTGTCCGTGTGAGAGTCTCCTGTTCCTAAAGACTCTCAACTTTCACATGGGAAGAGGGAAGGGGGGGAAAACCCCAGCGTCGGGCAACTGCAGAGGAGAAACGACCCAGGTGGACCAGCTGAGTGGGAGGGAAGGCCTCTCCCCCGCACTCAGCTGCCGTTGCCGGAAGGGAAGGCGTAGCGGAGACGCCCTTGTTGAGAAGAGGAAGGTCTGCTGTTCTCCTGCCAGCCTGCACGCTTTCCCACACAGAGACTGTCAGTTCCACGTCCCCCCCCC